AAAACACATTCAATTTGAGAACATTTTCATTGTCCCCCCAAAAAACCCATACCTGCCTAGCCAGTGTGGCTCAGTGGTTGAACATCAACCTATGAACTAGGAGGTCACTGTTTTGTTCTAGGTCAGGCTCACACCTGGGTTGTGGGCTCGATCACCAGTGTGGGGCGTGCAGGAGGCAGCCAATCAATGATTCTCTCTCATGATTGATGTTTCTCTCTCTCCCTCTCCCTTCCTCTCTGAAATCCATACAAATATACTAGTATTTCTAAAAAATCACAAACATGAATATTTTTTAGAAGTGGCATTTCCAGTGGCTGCAGGCCTCCCCAGAGATGCCAAGGAGGTGCCTGTGGGCAGAGGCATGGTTTTCCTCAGTGAGACTGTTTGCTTCCTCCCAAACCCACAGCAGAGGTCCCAGAATTCTGTGCCATATGATATCATTTGGGCCTGGGAAGGTTTGGGGATCACTATGGACATAAAACCATTTCAATATAATAAAATGTCTACTTTAAAAATATATATATTTTTGCCAAAACCGGTTTGGCTAGCCATGCCGGCCGGGCTAAAATGTCTACTTTTTAAAAAAAATATATATTTTTTTAAATATATTTTACTGATTTTTTTACAGAGAGGAAGGGAGAGGGATAGAGAGTTAGAAACATCGATGAGAGAGAAACATCGATCAGCCGCCTCCTGCACACCTCCCACTGGGGATGAGCCCGCTACCAAGGTACATGCCCTTGACTGAAATCGAACCTGGAACCCGTCAGTCCGCAGGCTGACACTCTATCCACTGAACCAAACTGGTTAGGGCTAAAATGTCTACTTTTAAGTGAATGTAAGCCCTCCAGGAAAACTGTTTTTGACCTTAGCCTAATTGTACCAAATGAACTGTAGCTTGTTGCTGAATATAAGCCAATTAAAAGTTGGCAGACATCTGCTAGAAGAGATGATTTGGATTCCAGTCCTTACCCAGGGTTGGGCCACGAGTAAAGGATATGTAGGGCCAACAATACACCATGGAAAAAAATAAGTGACCACTGTCAACTCTGTAATAACATAAAACAGTAAAATAAAATTCTAAGTTCTCTAACTAGTTAGACTGAGCATGTAGAGTGCCATTATATAGGGGTACCCCATGTACTATAAAATATTCAGATAGCATATTGTTTAGCTCGAGTGTACATATGTTAGCCTAAAATGAAAGTAATGCTTGTTATACAAATTAAAAATTCAAGTGGTAATAATTTTGCTTTTCCTCTTATAATTGAGAAGAGCTATTTGGGGGTGATTTGAATAAATCAAGTCACTTAAAAGCTGTTCTAAAAAATCTGAGTAAATGTCTTCTTTTTCTTTAAATATACTTCCTATAATAAGTACAAGAATTCAAAAGTATTCCGTAAACCAAGAGCTGCCTAGAGTTCAGAAGTGGGTAGACAATACCTGTTGGCCAGAATGGTGATGTATGTTTCTAACTCTCTGAAAGGCATATTTTAAAACCAAGGGCTTACCAGGGGTCCCTAAACATTCTCTGCTCACTATATCCTTAGTGTCTCAGTAACTTTTCACTTACATTATTTAGGCAAAAAAACCCCCACCAAACTAATAATTCCCTTTATTAAACAGTTAGGTTCAAATGACTTCAGCCAGTGGCTGCCATATTATTTTTTGGAAAAAAAAGCCATATAAATTGAGAGAAAAAATATTTTTATTTCATTTATAATCACAATGACCTCCTAATGGGTGTGCCTGTTGGGCACGGGACAGTTTCTTAATCCTTGGAATCAGACTGGACACCACCATCCTTATTTTCTAGTCACATTATTTTTGAAGGGTAGTAGTTGCTTCTTATCACCAAAACCTTCAAAAACCTGGTTTACCAAAGATACCTCATTGAAAAAGAACGTAGTGTGTTCTACTGTTGAAACTGAACTATCTTGAGCTAATAGTTTGAGCAATATATGACAGATGTCCTGTATCACTGTATTTCCCTTGAAAATTAAAAGATCCTGCAGCACCTCTGTGAGTTTGCTGCAGAGCTACAGGGTGCCTTCGTGTACAGTTTGGAAACCAAATGTATTCACCAAATTTCTGCTTTTCACTCCACTCCATTCTGCCCCTCAGTTTATTCAAAGCTAGTCAAAGCTGCTCAGTTTCAGACCAAATAAAAGCACCAAAAAGAACTGCAAAGCCAGATGATGTCTTCACTTTGAGGACCATTTTAACAGGGCACTTTGAAAGCCACAAAACAACCAGGTCACTAAGCCAGAGTCCTAAAACTAAACTTGGTAATACAAAGGAGATTGACTGTCAGATGCACATCTTGGGGCTCTCTCTGGTTGTGAAGGATAAATCAGAAGGGGAGGCAATGCCATCAACTGGACCAGCCCGATGGTTATAGGAAATGCGGAGTAGGGAAGGGGTAAAGACGACAATGGGGGACATGTTTAGGAAGAAAAGTCAATAGGCCTGGACCACTATGTTGTGGGACAGCTCATCCTTCCCCACTAACTTTCTGAAGTTCTCATCTTTCCCCCACACCTGGGCAGATATTTCTCCCCACCCCTCCCACCCATGGCTGGGGGTGGAGAACAAGGATGTCATCTTTTTGTTCTGCATCCTCCTCATTACTCCTCTCCATCCTATACCAGGCTGGAAGGGGCAGGCTTCCCTTTGATAATTAAAAATTAGCTTTTAAAGACAACAGATCTACTGTGAGGGACAGAACTGTCCCTGAATGATGGCAATAATATACTAAAAATGTACAGCTCCCCTCCTCCACCAATGCAAACAGCCCCTTCAGCAAAAGAGCAGGGACTGGGAGCAGGGGCTACGGCAGAGGGCAGGTCTCTGAGTGTACTCTCCTCGCCCTGGGCCTTACTACTGTGGGAACCTGAAAACTTTTAATTGTTGGTATATTTATTGATTGTTTTAATTTTCTTAGAGAGAGAGGAAGGGAGGGAGTGAGCAAGAAAGAAACATTGATTTGTTGTTCCACTTACTTATGCATTCATTCATTGATTCTTGTATGTGCCCTGACCGGCGATTGAACCTGCAACCTTGGCATATTGGGATGATGAGCTACCTGGCCAGGGACTAATTGTTGGTATTTTATAAGGGATAGTGGAGGCTACTGGTAGCTCAGAGGTAAGTTCCTAAAAAGGAAACCCTTTAAATGTTCTCTCACATCAGACTGGAAAGTACTGTAGATGTATAATCACTTCTCTCCCACATGAACTTCTCTGACGGATTTTTACGGCTCCCAGCATCCCAGGTGCTTCCCCAGTGTTCTCCAGTCAACTTCAGGAGGATCTTCACTCTGTAACTTATTCTCTCATTTAGGAATGAGTCCCTACCCTACCAACTTAGAACATCTACCCTTTCTGGAAACCTCTTCAACAAATGAACATTATAAAGAAATAGAAAAAGTTAAAAACAACAAACCAACAAAGACGGGGTGCATGTATGCTGTGAAAGAGAACCACTAAATATAATGTCTAAAAGACAAGTATTAAGGTCATTGGTCTTGCTCAGGTACGTTTTATATTATTGGAAATCAGGAACTGAAGCACTCAGGAACCGTAAGATCTATCATCTGGTCTCTGGAGTAAAACAGAATTGCGATTCTATGGTCTGATAAATGTCATTTTTCTCATCATGGAGCCAAGTTTGTGTTCCAGAAAAAGGAGAGATGAAAGCAGTGCCATGTTAAAGACTGTAGGAATATTTTAATTCATATTTCAATTCATTACATAATAATATCACAGTCTATTTTACAAGTTAAATGTATGAGAATGTATGAAATAGAAAAGGTAGGAAAAGACTAAATATGGGTCAAGAACATGAATTTTTCCAAAGCCAGGGGCCAAAAGAAGATGCGTGCCCTGTAGGACCCAAGGAGGAGGCAGGGAGGATGACAGGAACAGCATTGGCTCCTGCACTGACTCCTGGTGTGTGTTTGTCCCATGTTTACCCTGGGAAAGAACCCTGGGAAAGAGGAGAGGCATGCCCTCTGCCCTGGTCTGAGGTGGGGGTTAGCCTGGTCAGTGGAAGATGGCAGCTTGAGTGCAGAGCTGGTCCCTTTGTGGCCGCAGGTGGGTTTTGTTGTAGAGGGAATTAGGGGTGGAAGTGTCAAAAATCAAATGTGTGGAGGAAAAAAGTAAACAGTTTCCTCTGTTCCCCCCAAAATCCAAATTCTTAAAATGCAATACATTCTTCTCTCAAACGTAGAAAAGTCTCACTCTGGATGTGCTTACGAGAAGATCGTCGTCAAAAAACTTTGTCTCTATGATAACATTCCCACTGTGAGTAAGAAGAGACGGCAAAAGAGCGATGTGTTAGGCAACAGATTTCATTTCCAGAAAGTGATTTCAATCTGGGTTTGCTGGGCCCTGGACATATACCCACCTAGCACCTTGGCTTGGGGACATTCAAATCTGTGTCTACATGGGGTAGAAGTCTAATATGACATTTAACTTATGTGACTAGGTTTGTCTTCCTCAAGTTCAGAAATCAGAAGAGAGAGCATGTCTTAATCCTTGGTACACTTCAGGCCCTTAGTAGAATGCTCTGCACAGAGGGGTGCTTATAAATATACTGATTTTCTGATACACAGAGGT